CCCGTCGTGCCTACCCCGGAGGGGCGCCGGGAGGCAGGCAGACCCGCGCGCCATCCGCGTCCCCGTCGTGCCTACCCCGGAGGGGCGCCGGGAGGCAGGCAGACCCGCGGGCCATCCGCGTCATCGTCGTGCCTACCACGCACCACGCAGGCGCGCCGCCGACGCGGCTATGGCAAGGTGACGGGGTCGAACCGCGTGGCCAGCCAGGCGTTGCGTTGCCCAAAGAATCCCCAAAGGCGGCGCAAGACTGTGCTGCTGGACTGCCAAAGCCTCACCCCCCTCCTCTCCCTCTCCTGAGCTACCTAGCAGCCTCGGCAAAGCAGAGGAGCACCGCCGACTAAAAACCAAACTACCATTAGCCTGAGCCAGCCCCGCCCCTCCGCCGCACCGCCCCTGCTCGCGGCAGTCCAAACTAAAATCAACTAATTTTAAGGCGTGGCGGGGGGCGGTGGTGCGCGGCCCCACGGCAGTGGATCACGCGCGCTAAACCTTTAAACACCCGGCCGTTACATTACCATGCTGGTTGCATAAGTGGCAGGGCGAAGCGCGGCGGCGGCGGCTAAGCCCCCAGCGGGAAGGGGTTCCTAGCCGACGGGGATTAGCGGCCAGGACCTGTCCTCGACAATTTTCTTCGAGACGCTCTTCTCCTCGCCAAGGGGTTACGATAACGGTGGGCGCCGGCGGTAATAATCGCGCGCTAACTAAGGCGGCCAATAGCGCGCCAGGAACGAGCGCGGGTTTAGCACTCCCGAGGAGAGCGCGGCGCATTCCAAACGCATTTCGCAACTAGGCAGGTTAGTTATATAATTGTGTACACAACCATTCAATGTTGGTGACCGAAGGTGGGGGATAGACTGCTTCACAATTTTGCTGGGATTTCCGCGTAAGTATTTTAGTTATCCAGGAAAGTGTAACCGGGATTTTTTTTTAACCCTTGTTTTCTTGATTTCTAATTACTTTTTTGCAAAGTTTTATTTCTGGAAGTATTTTAATGTTTTTAAATTTTTCCCGAAAAGTTTCGGACATGAATATCGCAGGGTGCGGTTTTGTTTTGTGTCGGCTCACCTGCACGTCTTGCTGCCCTGCTGGAACTTGCCGGACAGGTCCCAGCGTCGGGGCACGTCGAGCACGGCCACTCCGCGGGGCCCGTACAGGGCCACCTGGCGGCCAGTGTCGCTGCAGCGGATCCGCTCCACGGGGAAGCTGGGCGGGCTCTGCGGCAGCAGCGTCTAGAGACAGAAACATGAGCATGAGCACGGTCAGTATTGTTTCGCTATTATTTAATCTGGAATTTACACACAGAGAAGTGCAAAATGGTAATTAGTTTTCCAATGGAGTAAAAACTGTCTTTCGAAACAAGGCGGGAATTGAATTTCTATGATTCGGGGGAAAGTAGAGGAAAGCCGTCACGTGGACAATCGACAGAGAAAGTAAGAAAAAATGCCCCCTTATCACCCCAACACGGATAGCTCTCAAGCTGCTGCTTTCCATCTTTTGGCACAACTCTGCATTATTTTTCATTATTTATTTTTCAATTACACGTACTGCTATTGCATCCTTATCGCAAAGCTAAAAAGGGAAGAAGAAGAATTGCCGTTTCTTTTGCAGTCGATTTGAATGCGATGAAGGATCGTTATTAAAAAGAAAGTTGGACCGAATCGTTTCTTTTTCCTTTACTTAAATTGTACTTTACATTCGTTATCACAGCCCCGATATTAATGACGTTTCCTTCAAACTGCAATGAAACAATAAAACACGCATCGTCGCGGATTCATCAAAGCAAATTTTATCGTTAAGTAAAACTCACTTTCACTGTTTGCAGCACGCACGGTGGCGTGAAGCTGCTTTTCGACCGGGCTGCATCATCTCTGCTCATCATGCGGCAAATCCGTGAAAATAAAATGCCTGCTGCAGCCGACATAATGTGCCTATTACACATTATTTTCAATCCGCTGCAGCAGAAGCCGGGAGACCACGAGTAAGAAAAAATAACAACAAAATATAGGAAAGCGTTCGACCCCACCTCTCTAAACCACCATAGCGTGCGCTGGGCCTGAGGGCTGCATAGCTCTGCACAGTACGCGTCTTGTTGCGGGTCGAGGGGAGACTCCACGAGAAAGCGTGCAGCCGAGCAAGTCTCACGTAACGTTTAATGGGCCTCCTTTCAGGAATGGACAGATAAGCATAAAACCTCCTCCCGTGGCATTCGCTCATCTGCATATTTCCGCACGCCCAGATGCAGCGCCGCTCAAAAGTATGGTGGCCCTCCCCCCGCCGCCAGTCCTTAAAAGCACACGCGTAGGCGCGTAGAGTTTTGGGGAGAAAATACATGGGATGGGACGTTAATAAGAAAGGTAACGATTTTGTAAAATGATAACACGCCTCGCACGAAGTTTGGCAGGCCATCATTAGGACGTCCTAACAACCCGCGGCTAACATCGCGCATCGTGGGGTGGGGAAAGCAAGAGAGCAAGAGGGATGGAAGGAAAGCGAAAAAAAAATATGAGAAAACGCAAACATTCGGGCAAAAATATCTTCCCAACAGGGACTGCTGTATATAGGAAATTAATTTGTCAAGAGCGCAACTCTGCGGGGAAAGGAATATGAAAAAAAGCAAGAGAGCAGCCACAAACGAGCTCTGCCTCTGCAGAGAACGGTCGCAGTCGCGACAAGATGATGGTGCGCTGGTGCGCTCTCTGGTATCAGAACGAGAACATTGCGATTTTTACAACGCCATAAACCGTCCGCCTAAAGTCTCGCCGGAACACCACGCGGACCGTCACTGGACGGCCCAGTGGGGCAGAGGAAATATGATCGCTTCGGATGAAACAACAACGGGCGCAGGCAGACAACTACTCGAGATTCGCCAAGAAACAAGAGGAATCTTAAACGTTTTAGGGCAAGAGAGAGAGAGAGAGAGAGAGAGAGAGAGAGAGAGAGAGAGAGAGAGAGAGAGAGAGAGAGAGAGAGAGAGAGAGAGAGAGAGAGAGAGGCGAAAGGGTAGGGGGAGATAAGCGGCGTAATACCGCTCGAGTATTGAAGTAATAAGTTTCGCCAAATTATTCTTATAAAGCAAACGGGGCCTTCCGTTTAAAACAACGAAAAATCTTGCTCTCCCCCCACCCCACCTTTTTCTTCCCTTGAGTCACACCGCGCGCCAAGACGGCGAGAGAAAGGGGCAAAAGAGCAGAGACTGGATGGGAGAAAGGGGGGAATGAGAGTGAGTGACAGAGAGACTTCTAGGGGGGGCAAGAAATTCACCTCAAGCCCACCACTTTGGGCGGTTTAGCGGAGAGGGGGTTGGGAGGTGGGGGGGATGGGGGACAGGGAGGTGTGTTCCAATTAGATACTGCCAGGGTATGGACAATACACAACTTCAGATGCTTGCGCCCGGGAAGTGTACGTGGACAGAGGTGATTGGTAAATAAGGCTGCAGGAGGTGGAAGGGGGTCGTGTTCTCTTCTGGTGGGAGTAGGGACAGGAGGTGGAAGTAGAAGGGGGTGGATAAAGCGCCGCAGACTCGACGAGCCGGAAAAGTATCGGAAGGAGAGTGGAGAGGTGGTCGGGGAAGGAGAGAGGGGGCGAAGGGGCGGGGGCTTGTCGTCCTCCCACAAATGGCCCATTCATAATTTTGCCTATAAAAATGCGAAGGAGAACGGGTGAGCCGGGGCGGGGCGGGGTCTTGAGGCGGGGTGGGGAGCGGGGCGCGGCGGCCCAGCCCACCGACAGACATTATGTTTCAAGTTTTTCTCCTTTATTTTCGCTGCCTATAACCAATTTGCGTGCGATGCGGTGGCGCGGCGATGCATGGCGTGGCAGGGGTGAGCGCGCCACGTGTCGCTCCCAGCAACATACGTACACATGAAAATCGAGCAAGAATAAATAAAAAAAAAAAAACTCGTTCAACAAAAAAATGTAGAGGAGAAAAAGGTGGCAAAAAACCTAGCTGTCCTTTCGGATGGACCTCCTCGAGCGAGGTCGGCCTGCGGGGCGCACTAATGCCACCTCACGCCACGCCATGCCTCGAACAAGCGGAGGCCAGCAATTCTTCCATGCTGGGCCCCATAAAAGAGAGCAATCGCTAGAGATAAAGAACCGCCAAAAAAGCCCCATGATTTGTGCGAGTTAGGCCCTTTATCGGCGCTCAGCAACCGTGACCCGAAAAAGGGACCCGGGCCGCGGTGAGGGTGGGTAAGGGAACCCACCGGGCCAGAGAGAGAGAGAGAGAGAGAGAGAGAGAGAGAGAGAGAGAGAGAGAGAGAGAGAGAGGAAGAGAGGTGGAACAGCGGTGGTCTTGGCGAGGAGTCCAACAGAGTGGTCGGTCGAACAGTGAGGGCAAGACAGAGAGGGAGAGAGAGAGGAGCAGGAGCACGAATGTTGGAATATTTATTGCGTTACTTGTTACTACAGTTTGTAAATTTTGCCATCAGTACAAGAAGTTTGTTTTCTAAATCGACAGTTGGACAGTTCTATTTAAAAATACTATTATGTCTTTTAACAATGAAAGGATTCTCAGCGAACGCTGCGTTCGACTACGCGACAGTAGACTCACTAGAAAAAAAAAGGTAGTACTTAATGACTAGTTAAATTTTAACGCCCTTGCAAAGGCACAAAAGTGTCCAAAGGCATTAAATTTTAACATATTTGGGCAGTGTTAATGCCTATGCAATAATGCCTTTAGTAAAGGCATTAAAACCCTTCGAGCCCTACCCCTACCTATGTTTTTCCAGTACTGTGTTATGATTCACGGATGGGCAGTCATCTTCGAAACTTTGTCTCATCTCAAAATTAGAAAGTGTCTCTCCATTGAGTGTGTGTTGCTCTGCAGTAAACCTTGAGCTGGGCCTGTACCGGGTCCTGCGTTTAGCTTCCAGTACTGAAACTGCATAGTGCAACGAAAACGCTTCCAATCAACGTATGTTGCTCGGCCAGAAAAAAATACTCAGTGAGTCCGTTCTGGATGGTACCCCTACCTCAGACATACTACCTGCCCGCAGATGGACTCTAGATCGACCCTCGTCCTCCGTCCTTACTTCCCTTATGCAGATCGACGTTGGCCCCCACGGCCCCCGCCGCCGCCGGCTTGGACCCGCGTCGACCCCCAGACACAATGCCGTCGGGTGCGCCCAGCGGAAAAATTGAAACAAAGCGAATGTAAAACTCAGCCATTACTTTGCCGCACCCAGCATATAAATTATTCGATTTTCAGGGTTTTCGTCCCTCCCCCTTCCCCCTTCTCCCCTCACCGCCACTCTCTTTCTTTCTTCCTTTTCCTTCCCAGCGTCGGAATGAAAGGAGTTTGTTGTTGCCGCACGGCAGAGAAATCGGTTGTAAAAGGGAAAGGGAGGAGAGAGGGGGAGAGAGAGAGGAAGGGAGGAATAATATCGGTCTAAGTATAAAAGATGATGGAATCCACGCGGCTTAAAGGCAATTTTTATTCTATGTATGCACGCGGGCCTCTCTCTCTCTCTCTCTCTCTCTCTCTCTCTCTCT